AAAACCACTTAAATTTTTTATGCAATCTGGTTAATATGAGGCATAAAACCACTTAAATTTTTTATGCAATCTGGTTAATATGAGGCATAAAACCACTTAAGTTTTTTATGCAATCTGGTTAATATGAGGCATAAAACCACTTAAGTTTTTTATGCAATCTGGTTAGTATGAGGCATAAAGCCACTAAGGTTAATTTTGGAGAAAATGACATAGGCTATGATAAAGTAAACCAGACTCCGTAACAGATTGTTGCATTCCAACGTATATGGCACTGATAACCCACTAGGAAGCACTGTCGGGACAGTCTGAAGCCATTCTATGGGACTGATAATTGCTAATAACGTCCATTTAATAGACTGATAACATTTGAACCGGCTGTAACGAGTAGCCTCTGGATGACATGCCATGAAAGTCTTTCACTTGTTATCACATCCAGTATGTATTGAACTGAACAAGTTCTAGTTATTTTCTGTTTGTTTATTGTTGTATTTTTGTACATTGAATACTTTGTGAACTTCTCATTAAAATCTGATTTCATGAGATATTTTTCTCACAAATATAATCCCCTGCCTTTGTATTTCAGCAGCAGGTAATAACTAACATGTTGATTGTTTTCCTGTGTGAACAGGGAGGAGCAMGCAGAGACTCAACCGATCAAAGTAAGGAAGAACAGGAGTCTGGGACCACCAGCAGTCAGGTGACTCCCCCAGTAGCACTTCCTGCTATAGTMAAGGTTAGCATCGCTTCTCAACTTTCTCTTTCTTTTGCCTTGTTTAAAATAAAGACCACCTAAACCTTCTCTCCCCTGAACAGTCCAAGACAACAGACAAGAACCGACACAAGAAGCCCAAAGATGTGAAGCCAAAAGTGAAGAAGCTCAAATACCACCAGTACATTCCTCCAGACCAGAAGGCAGAGAAGTCCCCTCCGCCCATGGACTCTGCCTACGCTCGACTCCTTCAGCAGCAGCAGCTCTTCCTGCAGCTGCAGATCCTGAGTCAGCAGAAACATGCTCACACACATCCTCAAACACATACCCTGCAGACCCAAACCCAGCAGAGACAGCCCACCTTCAGCTACCAACCCCACCCGGCTGCCAACAACCAGAAGTAAGTCATGGACTCATGGTCACACACTGAGGACCTAAAATACTCAAGGTGTCTTGGTCAGCGACCCAAAAGACCTAAAGGCATATTTTAACACATTATGTTTTATATTGAAAAGTGCAGAGTTCCAAACTTTTAGACTACTTTAAGGGTCCGTCTCCATTGAAATAAATCCTGTGAACATGCAAAGGTCTCATTTTTGTTTCAGCCTTCTGTCCACACAGAAAAAACATTTTAAGAGCCCTAAAAACTGGTCATTTTTTAAAACAGGTTCCAGAGTAAAAACACTTTGACATCACTCTTTCATTTTGTAAAGACAGCCAATACTCAACCGGTTTATGAAGATGTCATGACCCCACCTCTAATCCACAACTAAATATTAGGGCCACACGAGGAGATTATTTTTTAACGAGAACAACGTCCTAATCTTACATGACATGTTCATTTCCTGTTACTGATTTATTTTTATTATTTTTATTCCTTTACTTGCATCCTCCTTATTTTCCTCACGCCTGCTGTGGATAGCCATGCATGTCAGTGAACTTATGAAGTAGTCTGCGATGACTTCTGGGTCACTGTTAATGTAAAATGCTTCCAAATTACACGAGGACTAAATCTGTCAGTGCAGCTATTAATTACAATATGGCTTCAGTTGATCACATACAGGGTGTATCAGAAAAAATGATACTCTCTGAAAAATCACCATAAAATTAACAAAGATAATAATTTTGAAAATGTGGGTGTAACCTTTGGTAGAGGGGATCATTCTGCTTTGAATGACAATAAAATCTTAACGCTTCACGCTCCTGTGAGCAGGGACAGTTGCAAATTCACAAAATTCATGTCCTTTGTGCAAGGAAATGTGAGGGTTAAAACATGATCTGTCATAAAATTAAAAGTTTAGATG